GTAATCACACCCATCGATATGGGGGACGATCATATTCGGAATCAGCACGTTCGATTACCTAGAAAATCTGATTTCGTGCAGTTGGGAAGAATTTTTGGTGGTGAGCCTGGTTTTTCAGGGTTTTTCTGGAAAATCGACAGGATCTTTTCAATTTCTGACATCGCCATTAGACTCAGCATAGTCGAAAACCTATAAAAGAATGTTTTTGGATTCAAAAAACGTTAACGGGGAAAAAATACCGCCTGCCCTAAGAGAAAATGCCCACATTGTGTTTATCTCAAAATTGTTCCCTGTTAATTTGCATAACTATTCAGAAATGCATAAAACGAGATTTTTCCACAACAAATCTCGATATTAAAGCAATTACAAAATTGAAGTTAAATATTTAATAAGACAAATTGATAAAGCAACATAACCATCTAATACACTGGACTTTTGGCAATTATGTCATTAGGGATTGTAATACAGCAGAAGAAATTGAATGGGAATGCAGAGAGAGAGAATCACGAAGTCGGTATTAATTAGGAAATGCAACATTCTCTGGCACATAGAGCAAAGTTCTAGGCAAAAAATGGTTAAAATTTTCTGATCAGATGTAATATGTTTATTTACTATATACATTTCATGCGTCGTGTGATGAAGAAAGACAAGAATTCCAGAAAGAAGATAATGAACTTAGGAAGCATTGATTTCAAACATGTTGTCAAATTTTAGACTATTTTCCGTATAACATCTTTACTACCAACGAATTAATATGTAACAAAATATTTGATTCTATACTAGTTTGAAGTACACAAGTTGTACTATATACTGACGTATTTTCTAGAAAAAGATACTTTTTAGTTTTTGAGTTATGTAGCTCTCAATAATGGTGATCAACGTTTAACAAATCATACTTCTTTTACATGCAGCAGCTAGATAAACTCTTTTTGACTATCATGACTTTCCGGCTTTTCTTCGGATCAAGATAATCAGAGATAATGTGTGTTCAAACTTTACTTATTCAGTGAATAATCACAAAATGAAATAAAGTAAAAAAATGAAAAATATCAAAATTAGATTTTTCTTTGAGATTTTTGTATATTCGGAAGCAGTATAATCGATTGCATGGTACAGCATGGTTCGTGTATATGTATATAGAACGTTATTGTTCTTTAAAGAACAATATAAGGAAAGGGAAAGTTTTATATTCTTATTGAAATTTATTCTATGTTCAAAGAAGCAGTGCTGGCCGTGAATTTATTCTATATTCTGCCCACTTCGCGACTTAAAACTACAATAACTAGAGAAAACTCTTTTCCACTTTTTTTACTGATCTGAAATACACAATTTGTACTATATATTGAGATATATTCCAGAAAAAGGTTCGTTTAGTTTTCAAGATATGGAGCTATCAATATCACAGATTAAAGTTAGTAATGTGTATGGACATCAGTTTGATTTTAAGAATTTCATGAATTTAGAATGACCAACATAATTTTCTTGACCACCTGTCGGAACATCATAGTCTGAGGAGTTCAGGTTGCACTTTTGTTTTTCTAGTGAAACCACTAAAATTGAATAATGAAACCCATGTAACTTTACACTGTGATATTGACAGCTCTATATTTTCAAAACTGAATTGTATAATTTTATCTTGCCGTGTTCGTTAAAGAGAAAAATTGTTCACTATGAGTATCTTGTACTGATATAAGAAAAAAGAATCAGAATTAAGAATAGAGTGATCAAACAGAATAAAACAGAAACGGAGTGTCAAATTATACCTGGCTACTCCATTTTCTGACTCACGAACGAAGTAACTATCGTCCACCTTGAAGATTAGATGAAGAATATGAAATAATCGCTGCGCATGTTGTTTTTCCCATAGGATAGAAACTCGAAACAGGCACTCTTATGTGACTCTTCTTATCTTGTCAGCATATTGAGGAAGCTTATACTGGATATTATCTTTCTTAGCCATAAGCTGAATGAATATTTCGTCGAAAATATAAAAATTTCTTCATTTCTTATGCTTTCGAAACACAAGTGTATGACACAGTGGCATCATTTTCAACACAACTTGTATATATTTAGTGTATCTAATTAATTATAACTTACATATTAATAATCTACAACAAATAGCCATAGAAAATTACTGGTTTTTTACATCGAAGCGTGTTAACAATTATATCAGACAATGGCCCTAATTGGAAAACAGACTGCATGGCAAATATATACAATTTCGGAAGATTCTGGGAAGAAAACAAACTAGATGTATTAATCTTGGTTAGTTACGCACCAGGCAACATCGGATATAATCCAATTGAAAGAATGTTTTCACATTTAACAGATCTAATTGCAAACGTAACAATTGATCTTGATCCAACATTTTCAACAATTAATCACCAATTGGATTCAGTATTAGTTGATTTAAATAAATATTGGCATAATAAAAGTATGATAATTTTAAAACTGATTGCAGACCGGTATTTTCTGATAATGGAAATTCGTTTGATGGTCATCAAGAACTAAAAGATAATTAATGAAAAGCTCTGTTAAACACGTAATGGACCAGGATAATGACAATGTTCGACTTAATCTTCGATTATACCTTCGTCATTGTGTTAGATCGTCGTATTATGTTTCATTCATCAAATGTACAGATTCAACATGCATTCATTGTACACGACATCCGGTGAGAGCAACCAAAACAGTTAAACTTCTCCGATCAGGCGGAGATTACTTACCATGGCCACAAATGACGTTTGGCAACCATTATGATACGTTCTTACACCGAACGCTTGCTGATAAAAAAAATATTGTACCAGATCAGCAATTACCATCAGGACGAACGAAACGATGTTTGGAATGTAAATTACCATATATCTTTTCTTCTAAAGCAGATAAAGAACGACATATGGTGTGAGTACATTGGTCTAATGTATTACCTAATAAAAAACGAAAACATTCACCGACTCCGAAATCAAAGTCTGTATCTAAATCAAAACAACGAATTACTAGAAAACGTGAGCTTTCTCCTGAATACTAGCAAGAAGTTATCTAACATTAGAATGATGTTAATATTTTACCTTTTAAACATGTGTATATAAATAAAACAAAGATCGATATATATCGATAGTTTTCGTTATTCAGGGCTATTTAGAAAAAAATATGTGTTTTCGATAGATTGATAAAAAAATAATCTTGTGAAACATAACGGTCAATTGTCTCTGAAGAAATAATGAAATTAATTTAATCAGATTAAATTAGAAAAGAAAACGAAGTTCATATATACATCTATATAAATGTTATTATAAAACGAAATGTTGTGTGCGAACTGCAGGAACAGCGGAATAGAGGAATACAGGAATAGAGCAAGAGCGGAAAAGTGGAATAGCGTATATACTGTATTAGGTAGTTGCTCTTGCTGTTGGAGCGCTCGCTTCTCCAGCAAGAGCAGCTAGCTAAAAGAGTAAAAATTATTGAGTGTAGCTAGCTGCAGCTAGTAATACTGTGGATAGTAGTTATTACATTTTATCACTCGATGCAACACCCGATGTAGCGAAAATTAATTAATAAAATTATCCTCTTCTGCTCACTATTATATTTTCAAGAGTTGTTAAAGTATTATTATCAGCACGTACTATGTCACCTATTATGTTTCGTAGGAAATAACATTAAGCAGTATAAATGCTGATTATGTGAATGCAAGAGAAATTATTTATAAAACAGAAACATCATGTTCGAAAATATTAAATATTATTGAAGAAGGAGCATTATCGTATGAACACGCAATTGAAGATGCTGCAAAACAAATTCAAACGGTTACACAAAAGGTAATAAATAATTTTTATGAAGTCACCGTTACAAACGCTATAAACTATTTCAGGAGCCCACGAGTAGTAAAGGATAGCGGCCTATTCAGTCGAGTACAAAATATTCAGTATCGCAACTTACTTTTTAAGCATGTGTATATAAATCAAATAAACATCGATATATATCGCTCCTTTAGTCTTCAATCTAATTGATACATTTTTATAGGCTTATACAAACTAATTAAGGGCTTATCAACAATGTTCTATACTTGTACTCTACCGAAATAAACTTTATACACGATTTATAATCGGACAATCTTACACATATAAAACCCAGTTACTGGCAATTAATAGTACTCCTTATACTTAGCTGTGATATTGACAACCGTTTATCTCAGAAAGCAAAATGTATCTTTCTCTAAAATAGAGCTGGATGCAGAGTAAGAAGCACCTAAGGCAGACTTGCACTAAAAATTTTTTTTCTACGTTTTATACACCATTCGACAGAAAATTTTGCGCTGATCACGAATATCACTTCCCCGGCTCTCAAAACCTTTTCCTTGTGAGCAATAAGAATATCATAACTTGAGTTCTGATACAAGAAATTGAGAATAGATGGGAGAATCCTGACCTTTTTGCCTCTGATTTAAGAAAAACAATTTTCTCATCGCCGAAAAAGAATTTTAAAAAACAAAGTTATACTTTTAAAGAGAGGCATCTGGCGAATCTCGTCATGTATGAAACTTGGCTCTTCCAAAACCTCTTACAAAAAACTAGATAGATTTTTAAAAACAAAGACCAGCTTTTTAGACCTTCAGCTCGAGGCGTCCTTAGCGGATAGACGTTTGAGACTAAAAATGACTTTCAGATTAATTACTAACTCAGTTTTCGATACTGCATACAAAACAACTTTGATTCGAGCTTTGAAAGCGTAACGCCAAAAAAACTACTGCTATTTTCTCAAAACCCTGCGATTTTGGGGTTTTCAATGCCCTCTTAGTATTTTGCGAATTCCTCTGCAAGGAAAAGGTTTTGAGAGCCGGGGAAGTGAGATTCATGATCAGCGCAAAATGATCACCAAAAAGTTGAACTTATCTCTCTCATAATGTACTTCGCTATGAGTAACAACTAGCTGCTGTCGTTACTTCGGCACTACTATCGAAACGGAAAGGTCGTGCCGGTTGCCGTTTTTCAAATAACTTTTTAACGAAAGGTCTTAGCGGCCTGCGGTTTTCACCATCGTATAGAGGACACTTAAAGCCTTATTTTTATAAGGAATGACAAGTTTGAAAAAAATT